CTTTATGTAAAGTACTCTCAAAAAGACGGACGGAGGTTTTGAAAAAACACTCTTTCGGTATCAGGGGATCCCAAAACGTGTGTTTTCGTTAAAATCTCGAAATCGATTTTTCGCCGCATTACATAACTCACCCTATACCCCGTACATACAAGTACGTATTCAGAAAATTAAAATAAGGCTCAATTTTTTTCTTTAAACTTTTGGTATGGATAGTGCTAAATGTACTCTACATAAACATCATGTTGCTCTATTCTTTTGGCTTTTCAAAATGTACAAAATTAATTTTTATTGACTCGTCTGTCATGTCGTTAATATTTACATTAGCTGCGATTTGTTCACATTATTATATTTATAGGAACATGTGCTTTAAATAATGTAGAGAAAAGCTTCTCGCAACAGTTTTATGTGAAAACTAGCTCAAAATTTCCCATTTTCAGGAACGCTCAAACACCATTTTTTTCAAAAACAGCTCCATTTTTTTCCTTCAACCTTTTTGAAAGGATAGTGCTAATTGCACTCTAATATGATGGAAAGTTCATTTCTGGGTATTTCTTTTTAGAAAATTACATAAATGTAATTTTTTTAAAAGATCTCTCATGCAGGTAATACACATTTTTATATCAATTTGTAAACATTATTGTATTTGTTCGTTAAAGCACTTTAAATGACTTCTAATTTGACTAAATGACTTCAAATTTTTCAAAAACTAAAAATTTTTCTGTGTAAAAGAGCTACAAATTTTTCTAAGAAAATTGCCATTTAGGACGAAGTTTTGTACTGTTTTTTAAAGTTTTAAAAATAACATTTCCATTCTGCTATTAGAAAACAGAAAAATTAATAAAATTTCAGAAAAATATACTTTGGGCAACGATAGATGGCAGCAGGCAAGAGTATGTGGCATGTTCAATTAGCTAGCCGAGACCAAGGAAAACTAATCCAGGGAAGTCTGTGTCTTTCTGAAGCACCACTAGTTCTTTAACGAATCCAATTCTTTTTTAAGTGTCTGTCACCCTCTTCTCTGTCAGGAGATTGCAACATTTCAATGTAGGAATTTAGATTCTTGTTTTTAGTGATTGACGATTCGGTCAGGTAGACAAAATCTCTGGTCATCCACAAATTTGGAGGAGACTAAATTACGAGCTGAAAGGAGAAAACTTGTAAGCCACCGTGAAGCATGGAGGAGGAAATGTAATGGTGTGGGGCTGCTTGTCAATGGTGGCAGTGAATGTGTGTACATAGAGCAAAAGATGAACAGGTTCAACTATCTTGACACCATTACACAAAATTTAAATCAAAGTGTTAAAAATCTTGGTATTACTGATAATTTTACTTTTATCAGGATAATGATCCCTAGCTCTAGTCGCAGGTTGTTCAACTTTGCTGTATAACTATCCGCAGGTATTTATGAATCAACCCTCTCAGTCATCAAACCTTACTGTTAGAGAACATCTTTGGGAAAAATTGTAAAGGGAGATAAGAAAATACCCAATTCATTCCAAATAAGAATTAATGCAAACAATACAACATGGAGAAAAAATCTCCTTATACCCCAAAACTTGGTACAAAGTATACCAAATGTACAGAAGGAAATGCTTCACTGAAAGGGGATTGCTACTGTTATTTTTTACGTGTTTTTCAGTTAGAACATTATTTACTGTGCATATTTTTAATGTCCCCTTTTAAGGGCCCGAATACTTTTGCAAGTTAACTTTTCAGCATAAAAAATTCAAATTTATAAACATCAATTAATTATCGTGAATTTTAAAATAACTTTCATAAACACCTTATAACTGCTTATATAAGTAAACATAAAATATACTTTATTACATTATATTCTTCTTTAAATATCCCTAATCCATGATTATTTTGCTAAATTTCTCATGTTCGAATAGTTTTGTGAGTCATTGTATGTCTCTTAACACTGATCAACTGTGTTCATCGTAACACATTGTGAAAATAATTCAAGTGCATTTTCTTCAATGAGATTAACGTTGCAACTTCAGACGTTACAATTTTCAAACTCTCAGTAATCTTACTCACTTATTATCCCATTAAAATTGTTTCTTTTATTATCCCATGAAAAATGTATCTTAGAAACCCCATATTTATTAATGACAAATTAAACTGTGAACTACAAAAATATTTGTTTTATAGCTTTTTCCCAGTCATATGCCTCGACCGACCACTGAAATCATGAATAGATACATTGCCAGCCAACTTATTTTGTCATTAAGTTTCAAAACAGCTGCAGAACTCAGCGCAAAACATACAAGATGGTGCAGAGCACTGACTCGCAAAAACAGCATTACAATCTTTTCCAAAAATAAGATCAATATCTCTATATTGATTTACGATGAGAAGGGCACGAAAACCCTTTACACCCTTCTGTAAATTATTTGTGGACATACCTTGAACAAATAAGTTTGCGAAAGTTTCCCTTTCCACAGGTCATTTGATAGCAAAGTGCTGCAAAAAGTGGAAAGAAATCTTAAGAGAAGTTCAGTCCAATACAATGAAAAGTTTTGCAAATTTTTTAGGGTGTGATTGCATAGAAACTATGGGCAATTTATACATAATGGTACTAATGTTTTTGAACATTGAGGGACATATAGGGAACATAGCTTTTAGGAACATTTATGGACACACACACACACACACACACACACACACACACAC